AGATTATTGAGCCTTCCCGTAGTTCTTCTATGATCGAAACTATTTCGTTGTGGTGTGCATTATTACCAGCCATTTGAGATGCCATAAGCAAGCGTAGTCTATCAACCAACTCGTTAAAATTATCAAAATATTTGTATTCCACTTTTTTGTTATTAAAATCCATTAAACCTTCTCCATGTTTTTCCATGAGGTTTGTTTTAGAAGTTGTACTTCTTAAATTACGTTTTGGTGTTTCCAGAATTGTTGACTGCTGTTTTTCAGATGTTCTTTTTTTAATTATAGGTTTAATAATTTCTACAAACTTTTTAGCATTTGAAGTCGATAAACCCTTTGACGGATCATAGCCCAAAAACTGTGCGTTGCTCTTCTTAATAATATTTATATAAGTAACTAAATCCTGTGGTGTAAATTCTATAGGATTTTGCTTAAAAAGTAATTCGTAAAGGCCTTTAGTTCCTTCATATTCTTTTTCTTTGACTTCTACGTTGCCACTATCTTTGAATATTATAGGCGAGTCACCAATAGCCCAATCACGAAATTCAGGACTAAAATAAACACCAAATGTATTGTCATAAGCATTTTCTGTATCACTAATTTTTCCTTCTATATATTCTCTAATTGAAGGATGAAACTTGTTTAAATACAAGTTTGGTAACTCATTGATGGTGGAAATTTCATTTAAATCAGATTCGTTTTCAGGTTCATATTCGTGAAACTCTGTTTGAGCGCTTAAATTTGGAAAAATCTTAGAGTATTTTGATTGGCTTTCAACTTTTAATTCCTTTTTGATAATTGGAGGTTTTGCCTTAGAAAATAATTCTTGGATAGGATTTACTAGTGGTTCTAACTGTTCTCGATATTGTTTCTGGGTCTTTTGTCTTTGTTGCTTATAAAGTTTAAATTTTCTTTTAATAGCTTGTCGAGAATGAAGAAGTTCTTTTCCCAATTGTAACATTGTAACTAATATATTTTGTATTATCACGGCTTTATATATGAATCGAATCCTTTTCGATATCTTCCAGAGGACAAATCACAGTCTTTATCGATTACCAGAAAACCAAATTTATCGTTCCAACAAGAAGCACCGATATCTTTGAACTGTTGGAAACTCATATCGATTATATGATCATCATAAATATGTTTCAAATTAGTTATGTCTTGTACAAAAATAATTAAAAGGTTGGTATTATCTCGGACGAGCTGTTTTGGAATGGTTGAATAGGTTTGACATATATAAAAACAATCTGTATTTTTATGTCTTCCAAAACTGAAGTAATTTTTGATAATGTTTTGATCACAAGATGTTACATCATCAAATATAATAGTTGAATTATTTTTAATGCGTTCAGGGGGAGGTATGTTCTCACTTTTATCGTATTCGTAATAACCAATTTCTCGAATAGGTTCCAGCAAAGCACGTAAATATTGATATTTGGGTTGTTGTAAGGATTTTGAATATAGGTAGACATTTTCAAATCTTAAACCATTTGGGTGTTCTAGAAGAGTGAGCACGACATTAGTTTTTCCTGATCCGCTAGGACCAACAATAAGTCCTCTCTTTACATCTCCGCCAAAAATGTTATGTTTTGTGGAAGTCTGACTTGTAATGTCATAATTTTTTACAGGTAATGAAGTTTTCTGTTTTTCAATCTTCATTATGGGTATGTTATTTCTAAACTGAAGGTATATTAGAGTTACAAACATATATAAAGGGTGAGGTATATATAAATAGCTTAATGTCGAAACGTAAGCGAATTAGTTCACTTCGAAGAGGAAGAGGAATAGTAAATTCTTTAATAAATAACCTCCCGATTGAAGCACATATTCCAGGCTATCAGTATTGTGGTCCTGGAACTCAACTTGATAAGAGATTACAAAGAGGTGATAAAGGTGTTAACCAATTAGACGCAGCCTGCAAAGAACACGACATTGCTTATTCCCAAACTAGAAAACTTGGTGAAAGACATAGTGCTGATAAAATTTTAGAAAATAAAGCCTGAGAGAGAGTTAAAGCAAAAGACGCAAGGTTAGGTGAAAAGGTTGCGGCTTGGTTAGTTACCACAGGAATGAAAGCAAAACGTAAACTTGGAATGGGTATGAAATCGAAGAAAGTTAAACGAAAATTTAAAAAAGGTGGTTTTTTACCATTTCTTTTACCTCTATTAGGAGCGCTTGGAGCCGTTGGTGGAGGTGCTGCTGGAATAGCGAAAGCAGTAAATGATGCCAAAGCTAACCGTCAACAGTTGGCTGAACAACAAAGACATAATTTAGCATTAGAACAAGCTGCAAAAACAGGAAAAGGATTTTATTTAAGACCTTATAAAGGGTATGGGATGAAAAAACAACGTAAAGGAATGGGGTTTTATTTAAAACCATATTCAAAAAACTCCCGTTAAAATTACCTCATAAGATAATGACTAACATTGATCTAGACAAATATGCGCGTTTATTAAAAATTCCTCATTTTCGCGGTGTTTACATGCGTGATTCTCTACCACTTAAAATTAGACTAAATGAGTCTGGTATAATTAATCTTGATAGTAAAGAAAAACAAGGAACCCATTGGGTTGCATACATTAAAGAGCATAACACAGTTACATATTTTGATAGTTATGGAAATTTGCCACCTCCAAAAGAGTTAGTACAATACTTTAAAAGTAGAGGTTCAGTTAAAATTAGATATAATTATGATGTAGTACAAAAATATAATTCCTACCAGTGTGGACAGTACTGTCTTAAATTTTTATATAATCAATATAATAGTAATATATGATTCATTTTGTTTTCAACCATTATGTCGTATACATTTACTTTAAGTGGTAAATCATCTGTTCTAAGCGATGATTTTAATCCACCAATATGATGGTGAGTACGAAATAGGATTAGCAAATTTTGATACGTTTAACAATATACCAAATATGGATGAGAAAAATAATGTCTTGGTCTGGGGTAAAAATAATGAATATCGATATGAGATTCCAATAGGCGCATATGAAATATCGGATATAATAAAAATTATAGAAAGAGAAATGTTTCAAATTGCTATTACAACAACACAAATTACACCTGATGAAAGAACATCGAAAGTAACTATAAAGAGTACAGAATGGATAAATTTTGAAGTTGATCACTCTATAGGAAGTTTATTTGGATTTACTAAAATTAAGCTTGAACCAAATATTATACACTCTTCTGTTTACTCGATAAATATTTTAAAAGTAAACACGATTTGTATCGACGCAAATATTGCCATTGGCTCGTTTTTAAACGGTAATCCAGTGCATATTATACATCAATTTTTTCCCCAAGTACCAAATGGGTATAAAATAGTCGAGCAACCCCTGACAATACTTTATTATCCAATTACCATTAAAACGATAAGCAACATTACCGTTAGAGTTTTAGATCAAGACCTTTCTTTAGTCAATTTTCAAAACGAAACTATTACTGTTCGCCTACATTTACGAAAAAGTGGATAATGGTTTGGTATTTTCATCCATATAAAAGGAACTACCATAAAGAAACAATTAGTAGAAAAAAAACCATCACACTGCTAACTTCAGAAAACCGAAAATTCTTAATATCACTAGGATTTAAAGTTTTAGTATAATGGAAATTCTTAATGTAACAGGTCTTCCATTTAGTGATAATACGATTGAGGACTATCAATTTCATTCTTACCAACCTTTCACATTTTCCAATTTTAATTATAATGACGAATTAAGAATTCCAATACAAGATTTAGAAGCATATACTTTTCCCAGCAACAGTTACTTATATATCGAGGGTAAAATATTAACTGACCAGAAAAAAGTTCCAACTAAATTTAACTTTATTAATAATGGCATCGCCTATTTGTTCAGAGAATTAAGGTATGAATTAAATGGTGTCACAATAGACTCTGTAAGAAATGTAGGTTTAGTTTCTACCTTGAAAAATTATCTTTCTCTCAATGAAAACGAAAGTAAACTCATGCAAAATGCTGGATGGTGCCCTAAAGATAAAATTCTAATTGATGGAAAGGGTAATTTCAATGTTTCTATCCCCTTAAGGCTCTGGTCAGGGTTTTTCGAGGATTTTAGAAAAATAGTTATGAATATGAGGCAAGAGCTAGTTTTAATTCGCGAAAAAGATGACATTGATGGAGTAATTGCTACAGATGATACGGAAAAACCAAAAATAGACATCATTAAAGTGTGTTGGAATGTTCCACATATAACACCTAGTATCAAAGAACAAATTCGATTAAATAAAATAATTAGAAGTAATGTTGATCTACCTCTAATGTTTAGAAGTTGGGAATTAATTGAATATCCAGCTTTGTCTAATTCAACACGCCATACCTGGCCTGTTAAAACTACTACAAAGATAGAAAGCCCGAGACATATCGTGGTAGCATTCCAAAATGCCCGGAAAGGCAAACTTTTAAAAGATATGAGTAAATTTGATCACCTCAATTTAACAAATATACGTGCTTTTTTGAATTCTGAGCGGTATCCATATCAGGATTTACATCTTAATTTTAATACTGATCGCTTTGCAACTTTATATGAAATGTTTGCCAATTTCCAAGAAAGTTATTATCATATTCAAACAAATCAACCAATATTTACACCAGAAGAATTTAAAAAAAATGCTCCTATAGTCCACATTGACTGCTCACACCAAAAAGAAATTTTGCAGAGTGGGTCAATTGGTCTCAGAATTGAATTTGAAACCGAGAATAATGTAGGTAATGAAGTATCTGCTTACTGCCTGATTTTACATGAGAAAGAATTTTCTTACAATCCACTAACAGAAATTGTTAAACAGATTTAAAGCGCATGTTTAAAACTATAATATAAATTCTCGCTAGATAACATCACTAGTTAGTCTTCAAGATGCATTTAATAGTAGATGTTCAGGGTTTCATCATTGAAAAAAACAAATTTATTTGCAAGGAGTTGGCTACTTTTGATGGAAAAAAAATTACACACAATTTTTTTAAAGCACCTTTCCGTATGCGTTTGCTAAATGAGGAATTCCATAGACAAGCTATATGGTTAATGGCCAATCACCATGGGTTAAATTGGAATCATGGTTTTACACCACTACATGAATTCCATAATATTATCCAGAATGTAACTAAGAATGTGGAAGCAGTTTATGTAAAAGGAAGGGAGAAGGCTCAGTACATTAGAAAATATAGTTTAGCACCAGTGTTCGAAATGGATGAACACCCGGCTCTACCAAAATTACCCCCGAAATGTCCACATCATTTAAGTGAAAACAGCATATGTGCATTATCTAATGTATTTTACTTATATGAAAATTTTATTTTGCAATAAATATATCTTTTTAATATTTGTTTTATTTTAGAAATAAAAATCAACTTATAAAATAGTTCTTTATTTTTATCTTAGTACTGACATGCATAAATGACAATTTGATTGTGCTGGTGCTGGTCCATCCACATGGGTTTGCCACTCTGGTCTATTGTAGTGTACAAAACAAGGAAGCCGGGTCCCCACCACAAAATCTGTCGTGGCTTCAATTGGTAATTTATGCCAAGACATCAACAATTCCCAAGGAGTAGCATATTTTCTTAAATATTCAACACTAAAATTCAATAGTTCTTCTTGTGTGAACATATGCAGCGGTTTTTTCGAATGTTGGGCGATTAGGGCACCCTTCGCGCAACACTCCATCTTTGAAACGGTTAATATTTTTAAACACCAGGTCTATCCACTTCTTTTCTTCCTTGCGAGAAATAAAAAATAGTCTCTCTTCTTTGGGTTCATAAACTTTACCACTGCGCAGGCGCATCAGTTAAAGATAGTCTCGAAAAGTTTTTAAACATAAATTTACTTTGGTATTCACTTTGTAATTTTATAATACTCTGCTTCAACTTTTTAATTTTTCTTCTATTTTCGTAAAGAGTTATTTGATGTTTCACCTTTATAATGCCCTGTGTAAACGTTTGGAGTCTTCTACTAAGCACCACCAAACTCATAGTGTTTATTAAAATGAGCTGTTGATGCTATATGTAGTTGCCCCCACTTATTCAGACTTGTCCTGACTTGTCCTGACGTTATGTGCCGGTGGTCTTGAACTCATGGTAGACCAGATGTGCAGGACGCAGATGGCCGGAAACAGGTGACCGCCAGATGGTAGAGTGGATGTCTAGACACCACATGATGATCGTGGTTTTATTTTTATTAATTTCCATGAGTTCTATATAAGAGGGGATATAAATGAAAATCGTTGATAATTTTTAGTTTAGTAATGTCGAGCGAAGACTTCGGTGATCTTTTGGATATACTCTATCCTCCGAATAAGTATAAACTCGAGCGAAAATTGTGTTTGGTTTGTCGTTTAGTGAAATCCCGGATGGTCACAAAAACAGATAAAGAAAAGAACATTTTAGCATTTTGTCCAAAATGCATGCAAATAAGACCGGTTTTCATTACTTATGAAGACTTAGTCGATCCATATAAAGTGTGTAAAATTATATACAAATATAGAAAGTGGCCACCTCTGTTTAGCCTAAGGAAGGAACCACAGCCTATAGGAATTTGTTGTGATTGTGCCAAATCAGACCAAGTGGAAGCCATATACCAAATACCACATAAGTGGCAGGGTGCCTACCATCCAGTAGAATATATATAAAATATTCTGTTCTCTATTTTGAAGTTGTTAACATGGACGACCAAGGCGATGAGGTGGTATTTGACGAAGACACCAACGATAGCGGTATTTCACTAGACTGCTCCGTTGTAGACCATAAAGTCGAGGAGAGCAGTGGGTTGCAAAGTCACGAATTTTTAAGACTATCCTCATCAGAGATGCTTTGTGTTACTCAAAATTATGTGCTTTGCGAAAATGTGAAATTGTGCTATGTTTGCTATTATCGAATAGTGACACCATTCCAGGAAAACCTGCTGCACATACATATAACAGAACATTTTAGTATTGCGGGCTTCGATCTTCCTGGGACATGTCATAACTGTTTCGTCTGCGGTGAAAATTTATATACACTCTGTCTGATCAAATATTGTACAACATGTAAAAATTAAGAATATATTATTAAGAAAATAAATTTGTTTTAGTGCAACCATTGATTGCCCCGTTAACGCTATGATAGATTGGTTTTTCTTGGGGATGTTTAGGGGTTGAATAGGGTGAGTAAGAATTTTTGTATATTTTATTCATAATCTATCCTTAGAAACCTTTTCAACGATGTATCACATGTATTTATATCATTAAAAACTACGTATGGGGGATGTTTAGGGGTTGAATAGGGTGAGTAAAAATATGTTCTATCATTTATTCCTAATCTATGCTTAGAAACATTTTCAATGATGTATCACACGTATTTTTATCATTAAAAACTACGTATGGGGGATGTTTAGGGGTTGAATAGGGTGAGAAGGAATTTTTTCAATAATTTTTCCGTAATATTGATGTAAGGACCTCTTCAATCATGTATCACATGTATTTTTATCATTAAAAACTACGTATGGGGGGTGTTTAGGGGTTGAATAGGGTGAGTAAGAATTTTTTCTATAATTTATTCCTAATCTATGCTTAGAGACCTTTTCAATGAGCTACTGAACGCTCTGGTAAGTTGAATTTTTTAGCTAAGGGGTAGTTTGAAGATTGATAGGGGTATGTTGGAATTGTGGTGGGGTAGTTTTTTGTCGATGTGATATAATATGTTTCCATGTTCAAGTTACTTTGAATGGCAAAATGTGTTGACCTGACAATATCTCCTGTCTGTAATGTTAGACTATAGAAGGTATGACATATTGCATTCTCACCGACGATATGTGTCGTCATTATATTGTCGAAAGAGACTATCCATATAATATCTATGTCAGTGTTCCTGTGCTTAACACAGTTCGCTTTGTTGGCGAATATCGAAGAAAATTTCGTTCTGAAATTATATGAGAGATGTCACTGCAATATAGTTTTGAGTGTTTTGAAATATTTTTTATTTCCAGATGCCTTTTTAATTATCTATTTTGGTATAAATGTTGTCATCAAATATTAGTTTATACAACGGTTTTTATTGTGAACGAATGAATTCGAAAACGCTGTGATACTAACAATAAGCCCTAATACAATTAACTTTAATAACTTGCTAACATTTCATTACAAATTAACAGATATCGCTCGCTATACTATTCTAGAATATTTTTCCGCGCGGCCAGAAATAGAATCCAGACCAGATGTTATAAAATTAGTTTGGTTTAAGAATATATGTCTACCCAAACAAAAATGATAATATTTGACAAATACGGGACATTTCGTGTGTGTTTATTATTTGTAATTAAGTGTGATAATTTATTAATGCGGTGTGTGGGCTTTTGGAATATGTGATAAATAATAATTAAAAAAAATGTGAGTAAATTTGCAATTACCATTTTTTACACTTTTTCGTAAATTAAAAAGTGTTTCCTATTTTTGCACACCTATTTTTTGTAAGAACCATTTATTTAATATTTTTTAGAAAACACTTAAATTGTTTTTATTATCGAGTGAATAAAATGCGTCTTTTATTGTAATTTTTTTAGACTTTATTTTAAAGGTAATTGTTTTATAATAAAATATAATTTTTACTTTTGTTTTGTTGCAGTAAAAGTATACATTTTTATTCGCTCTATAATAAAAAATAACCTGAAAAGAGAAAAAAAATAAATAACACATGACAGTTTTTAAAAATGTATTGATTAAAAAGTAATAACAAATAATAAAGAAGGTATACCTATTTATCGCACACTTATGTTTGAGTATTAATACAATTTTTAATTTCTATTGATAAATTGATATAGTATTGATTAAAAAGTAATAGCAAATAATAAAGAAGGTATACCTATTTATCGCACACTTATGTTTGAGTATTAATACAATTTTTAATGTCTATTGATAAATTGATATAGTATTGATTAAAAAGTAATAACGAATAATAAAGAAGGTAGACCTATTTATCGCACACTGATGTTTGAGTTTTAATACAATTTTTAATTTCTATTGACAAATTGATATATTTGGTCATTTCTAAAATTAAAACCCTCGTTTTAATTACCTTTTTCTCATATTTTTTCAATTTTCTTTCCAACATCATTTTTTTCCTGGGGTATTCTTTTAAAACACCATCGTTGGTGCGCAAAAAATCACTTAAATTGTTTTTAAAAATACTTAAACATTGTTTTTCTGGTTCGAAATTTGTTAAATTTAGCACATCACTAATGTCACTATCATTATCTTCAAGGGGATGATTGTCCGCTACCTCACCCCCTTCTGCTTCATTTTCCGCTGCTACATTTTCCATTGGCTCGTTTTCAATTTCATCCATTGAGATATTGTCATAATTTTGACTCATCAGTGGCGTGGAGGCTTTTTTCATATTCCTTTGAAAACGGATATAACCTGGCGTTTTGTTTTTGGAATATTCAGCATATGTTTTTTCAGCCATTGGTTTGGCTTCCCCGGAAACCAAAACCAAAGATTGATTTAAGTCAACAGCAGGTTCACTAAACATGGCATGTGAAAAACTGGTAGATGGTTGATCGATGGATGAATTTTGCTGGAAAATCTTTGGTTTTTTTCCTACCGGCACTCTGTGAAAATTTGGTGAATCCCTATTTTTTTTTAAGTGATCGAGAATTTTTATATTTTTACTGCTTGATATCAAGTTTCTCATGGTAGACTGGTAGACTCTTAGGGTAATTAATGAATGAAGTTTGCAATATATGAAAAATAATAATTTGATAGCATTAACCCTTCTCTAAAATAAATTGCAAGTGGGAATTAAGTAGTAGTAAAACCAATCAGCCTTTCTTTCCCTACATTTGGTTTAAAATTCAGCCAATCAAAAAATTACACTTATGTATCCCACCCATCCAAATTTGAAAAGTAGTAGTAAAACCAATCAGCCTTTCTTTCCCTACATTTGGTTTAAAATTCAGCCAATCAGAAAATAACGCTTATGTATCCCACTCATCCAGGTTTTACTTTGTGGATTTTTTAGCGGGTAAAATAGTTCACAGAGGATGTTACCATAATTTTTTATATTGATACACAGGATGCATTTAAAATGAGCGTTAAGTTTTTGCTTGTCGCGATTTTTTTCTTGAACGCCAATTCTAAATTCATTGCGTTTCTCAGACAGTGAAGCATATGTGCACTTTTATTCTTATTTTACAATTACATGAATACATGTAGCAGTATGTAAATATTATTTTCTGTTTCTCATGTGCGCTAACATGTGCGCTTATATATTTTTTATATTGCAATTAAATGAATGCATTTTTCGTTCTCATATAGCAGGATAAAAATATATACTGTTTCTACATCCAACTTTTTTGCGGTGCGAAATATATTGTACTATTCATGATTTCTGTTTCACTAACACGAATTAATTTCAGTGGCGGTAATATATTTATTTAAAACTTTTAGTTCAATTCACTCATTTTTATTATTATGTCTCTTTAATTGCATTATTGCTGAAACTTTATCCTGGGTCCTCTGGAGTGACGCACCTAACGTTCATTTTTACAAATTTGCTTCTTTAATTGCACCATGGCGTATACA